TGAAGGAGCACTGATGATAGGCAGAAAGAGGCAGCTGCATGACCAGGCATCCTGAACTCTCTTCCTTAGTATCCTTTTGCTTTTTAAATGCTAATGCAGCTGTCATAAATGCACTATAAAAGCATAATGCAGGAAGTAAATCCAAATGATAAATTAGTGACTGTTGCAACCAGAACTATGAAAGCTATCTGCAGGGTTTGAAAAACAAGTCCATCAAATGTTCCAGCTTCCTAGATGCAACAGGAACCATTAATATCTTGACATTTACTGCAGTGAGGTATGTGTACCGCTCCCTATTCTTAGATTCAGGAATACTGGGAATACCATGGCAACTTATACTGCAAGTAGTAAACATTCAGATTCTAGTGGCAGTTCAGTTATTTTTAACTAGTTCAGTCTGGTGATGCTGATAGAGGATGTTACTTCATCTGTGCTTGCTTTGGTCAGGCACTGATAGATGATAATTAACTTGATTCTCCTCTCACTTATCTTGTAGAATCAATGGAGTTACAATGTTTTAAGACAAGTGTGAAAGAAGTTGGCCTAATGTTTATATTATATGACACTATTATTATTTGTATTACTGTGTTGGCATTATATGACACTATTATTATTTGTATTATTGTGGTACCTAAATGGCCTACTTAAGTCCCTATGATGTGAAGCCCTGAATAAACTAAGCAGATGCCTGCCCAATAGAGTTTACTGTTGAAGTATAATAAGAGAGATAACAGATCGACCAGGGGCAGGCAATTATTTCAGGTGGAGGGCCACTTACTGAGTTTTGGCAAGCCATGGAGGGCCACATGACAGGCAGCCAGAGGCAGATAAATATTAATTTTTAAAATTTTTTAGGGGCCCCACAGGCCAGATAGAATGGTCTGGTGGGCCACATTTTGTCCACCCCTGAGACAGACTGACAGCAAAAGACTGACAGCAGAATACAAAGAAACAGTAAGACCATATTGTCCTACCTGACAGTCCGTGGTTGTGCTAAGATGTAAATACCTGTCTGACAGATATCTGGGGTTTTTTTTAATAAGTTCTTTACAAAAATATGGGACCTACCTCCTTCTCTCTGAACTATGTGATACAGATGAACCATTTGTAGGATACATTCCAGATCCTGGTCTCGATATCTTTTTTCATGCATGTCATCTACTGAATCAGGATAAATAACTTGATCCCGTAGTGTTCCAATGGACATATAGGGCCTGTAAAACAACAAAAGGAAGCTAGTAATCTAATAACCAAGTCATGTCTCCCCCCTGCTATTTTGTGCATCTTGCTGATGTTCTATGAGCAGTGGATAATGCCTTAATTATAGTTTTAGCAACACAGTGTTTATCTGTAACATGCTGTGAGTGAATGTTTTTCTAAACTTACTCTAGGGACAATGACTTGTTTACATAGAAACTGATTACAGTGGAGCAACATGGATATCATTAACACGAAAACAAAGGCAGAATAAACATCTATCCCCTGGCCTGTATTTTATGTGAGTTCAGAAATCTGCAATTTTGCACTGTATTAAGTACTGCATATCCATTTTGTGTGTATTCACATTTTAAAATTTCAGTTCAACATACATGCATCAACAGGGAATGACCAGAATAACTTGGCAAGACAGATGGGGCTGCAGCCGGGACCCCTCAAGCCAGAGGACCTGCGAGGTGAAGGAGGTACCTTTGCACTCTCCAGGTCCTTGGCTACTCTAAAGAGATGGGGGACTGAATAAACCCTAAGCATAACTCACACAGCACAGGAGGTTTATCTAATCTACAACTGACTCCCCAGATGGCCATGGGTCCTGATGCTGCCCAGAATCTCTGCTGTGCCATGTTTCATCCTAAATTACCCTTGCCTCTGCCAGCCATATCCCTCACATTCCCTCTAAACCAGGGCTGTAGAACAGCTTCTCAGAGGAAGTCTTATAACCATCTCTGCTGCCTGGATTATGGGGCAGTGGAGGCATGGTCAGAGGGCTATTCCGCTCCCAGAAAACAGTTCATAATTTCCATTCTGGGAGCTGTGTAAACTCCCTAGGGTCCTCTGCAGATGCCAATAATCAACTGCCAACAGCAGGGTGACTCCTGTGTGTGAAGACAGGGGCAAGAGGAGCCAGCAGCGAGATGTGGCCAGTGATCCACACAAGGAACTCTCGCCTCTGTGGATTAGTATCAAGAATAGTTTTACAGTGCGTACAGTTCCTTCTCTGCAGATTAAGAATCTGTGGGGTGGAAACTCCAGAGCTCCCCAGCCCCTCCCTTCTAAGGGACAGTTTAGAGAGAGCTTTAAAGTTAGCCTGGCAGAGACTGCCTGCCTTTTTGGCTTTCTTCAGCACATTGTTTTGAGACCCATCAGTGCACACTACAGGAAGGAATGTGTGACACTGACAGCTATAGAAGTACAAGGCTAAAGCAGCTGTATATATTAACATTCATTAGTATCACTCTACTGCATCTCAATGGCACAGTCTGAGATGCTGCTGACAGTGGTGTTGTCCTATCTATACTTGCAATTAAAATATTAAAATACCCTCTGTTTGAGAATGGAAACAGCAGAAAATATGAGTTGCTGACAACCATTTGATCATTTTCCTGCTCTGGGCAGAGACCCAGATGGAACATCACCTTGGCCACAAATCAAATGTAGAGCTGGTGATCCTCTTTACTATTTTTAATGTTATAGTTTTGCTGCCTACTGTGGGTTGAGCATGGCACTGCACTGTACTGTGGAGTGAATGCTACTGAAAAAGGCAGAAAACTCTTCATTAATCTGAATATTATAAACATAAAATATGATGTAATTTCCAAAGCAACAATCTAATATATTCGCATAGCACCCTCCAGCAAAAAATCCCAGGGATGTGTTTTCACTGCTCACATAAGAATCACTTCACCCACCCCGGAAGTGCGTGGCACCCCAACAGTACACTACCGCTTACTGAATAACAATAGCATAATTCAAGTCTGTCCACCTGGCAGCCTGTGCACTGCATTAGGCCCACAAGGGGTTACGCTGGGTCCCCTACCCACCCCTAGCCAAGCTCCCACTTGGCTGCTACTCCCCCTATTGCTCTGGCTGTAACAGCAACTCTCCAGGCTACCTGTCTATCCTCCAGCTTCTGTCTTCTGTGCTCACCCTGTGCAGGTGTGTAGTTTGCACTGAGTGCAAGGACGGAGGATTCCAGTGCAGCAGGGTGGGGAACATCCATACAGTGTGCAGCCTATGGGGCACGCAGCCCCCATTTTTGTGCACTGTGGAGCATGCGGCCACCGACTGCTTAGAAGTTGGACAGCCTATGCATAATTAATTGAAACTACAGGAAGGGCTGAGATGGGTGAAATGCATTACCCCAACAGTAATTTGGTTGGGGCACTCTTCTAGTGAATAACAACATGGAATCTTTAATAGCCACAGCCTCTTAGCATCTCACTTTTAATTGACTTTTGAATGATAGTGCACTCGGCACCTTCATATCTCAAAGTACCAAGTACTTACTGACTCACCAGCATCACTTCCTGTAGCAACTGGCTTTTCCTTGTGGCTTCCCATACTCTGCTGTCACTGAGTGCCCTTCACCATATGTAGACTGTAAGATCTACCCAGAACACAGCCATTATGGCAGAGCTGCACATGCCAGTAACTCACAGCATAGGAGAAGGCATGGTTCCACGTTTAGGGTATTGGTCTGAGGAGACTTGAAAGCCCTGAGTACCATTCCCTGCTCTGCCACACAATTCCTGTGTGACCTCAGGCATGTCACGTAACTTCTCATTGCCTCATTTCCCCATTAGTCATATGGGGATAACAGTACTTTCCCCATCACTGGGGTGCTGTAAGGTGCATCAAAGCAGTGAAGTGCTCAGTTGCTACCATAATAGGAGGTGTATGATAGCTAGATGCTAAGTAGAGAGAAGCACATACTTACTGGGCATAGCAACAGTTGGCTTCTGCCCGAGTCATTCTGTTGACAGCATACCATATAAAGGCCCCCTTTTGATACTGTTTCCATTATTTCTTTAATCTGAATTCAGATAACCAAATGTTTTGTCCTGAAACATTATCCTCAGTTTAGCCAATCATTACTGATGTCTCAGTGCCTACGTCCAGAAAACCATGTCATTTTTCCTTTTAGCCTGGGCCACTGGGTTCAAGTTCTGAAAAAAAAAAATATTTCACAGCCTCTGAAGATAGCTTCTTTGGGTGCAGTAGGAGGTAAGTTCTCTAGGTAAGAGAAGTAATGGTGCTATAATCCTGTTGCTTCTTTTTTGCAGGATAGTCAGTAGCTCTTTCCTACAGGTTGTATCAAAGATACTCCCACTGAAACTCCCATTGATTTCACCAAGAGCAGTGTTAGATGCTGAATGCATTAAGCCACACGCTACAACTTCTTCAGCAATCCCTTGCAATTAAGGATGACTGTCTTCTCTGTGGGTCCAAAGATGGCTGATAAGGCCAATCCATGATCTGCAGACTACAACCTACAACTATAAACTAAGGTGGTGAATGCTCCTTATTAGCATTTTGCTAGAACTGATTAAATAAAACAGACAAAGCATCTTACAAAACATCTAAAAATGTTATAAATAAAAAAGTCTTGTAGGGCTGTTAGTTCTCTCACAGATACCTACCTCTGCCCTACCATAAACGAATGTGATAACATTAAAAAAATAAATAAATAAAAAAAAAAATAAAATCAAGATAGAGGAAAAAAATAACACTGTATTTAACACTTCATATTCAAAGAGCAGTAGCCTCAGTCAGTTCTACTCTATGTAGTCCATGGGTTTTTTAGGGCCAGCTAAGGTTTCTAGAACCCTTCTGGAGACATAAATAATTGATCTGTGTTTAAAATAACCTATGCTAAACTCACGCACAAAACTGTCCAAGAACATCTAAATATTTCAGGTAGATCAATTACCAAAATGGAATGGAATCAGCTTGCACCCACAAACAGTTTACAAGGGAGGAAGCACAGGGTATGAAATTTTCAATGCATACAATTACAATCTGGTATCAAAGACAGAAAAAAAAAAAAAAAAAATCACACCAATGACTGTGTAGTTTTCTCTGCAGAAAGTGTAAGCATATCACCTATAGAAAAGAGGCTAGAAAGGAATGAAAACTATAGCCCTAAAGGCATGCTTTAATTATCGTTGATGCTCTGACATCAGCGGGTTCCCTGATAGAGGTAGGGAAGAGTTACAAGACTTTCCTGAAAAAACTAAAATCACTGGAGGATTATCAATGCAAATCCCTAAGAAGGTAAACAAGTTTGAAGAAACCTTTTCCCCACCACCTCATGGGAAACTGCACATTCTGGTTTAAACTTGATGAGAAAAGATACCAAATAGAAAACTGGCAACTGCATAATGTGGCCAGCTTGACAAAAGAAGGACACTCATGTGACACCCTATCATGCACACTGGAGCAAGGAACTGATGCATCTGTCTGATGGGTAACACCTGATAAGCTTAGCATGTGTATGGTCCACTTATTGTTTTATAGGTTTTCTATGTACGGTGTTATCCAAAAATAAACAGTATCATGTTTTGTGAAAGTCAGATGGTTACTGTCTCGTACTAACATTACACTGTCCCTTCAAGAAAGCAGAACTGCAGGTGCTGATCGAAAGACTGACTTGCCAGGATGATGACAGCAAATTGTAGCAGGATTCATTGCAGCCTGAATCCCCTGTCTGGAAGGAGAGAATTACAAGACTCTGCCCTGGAAAAGGTAATAGCTGAAAGCCAGAGGCATATTCAAGGTGACCCACACCAGAAATGGATCAGAGATACAGCTCATTTCAGAACTACAGGCAACCAGCAGAAGATGATTAGTAAGGTGTCAAGAGAAAGAGTGCCAAGGACCATATTGGACAGAAAAGGCTACAACCTTCTGATTAATGGGAGAGCCCAAGGGTGGACCCCTATTGAGGGAAAGAGTCAGGTATTTGTAGTTTGACCCAGGGCTCTCAACTGGTCCAAGCTGGGTCCAGAGTACAAGTGATCAAAGGGCAAGCATGCCCACCGTGATGGGCAGACCTGGGTGGTAGAGAGCTCTGGCACCCTGACTGGCTAGAGAGTGGGGCCAGGCTCAAGTGAGTGAAGGTCTCTCAAAGGAGAGATCACTGGCAAGAGAGTAAGGTGGTCAGTCAGCAGGCAGTCGGGAACAACTGAGGATGAAGCTCAGCCACCTGATGGGAGAT